TTAAAATAAAGCATTTTTATTTTTCACTCATGTTATAAAGTTACATTTTTTTTTTGCTTATTACGTGCTCCGCCCTTAGGCACTACACGGAAAGGGAGGGATGCCCCGTGGAGATCTTTTTAAGGGAAACTGGCTCGTATCCACGTTACACATGGGGAAAACCACGGAAACGACCATGCAGCCAGCCCGTTCGCCGGGACTTGAACCCCGGATCGAACTACCAGTGTTCAGCGGCTTTAACCACTCAGCCGCTGGTGGGCAAAGTTACATTTTGGCTGTATATTATACAATTTTTTGAATTTGAAAAATAAGCAAGGAATAATGCTATAAAGCACAGTTTACGAAATAGTTTTTTTATCAAAAGCAAAATAGCAATGTAATTAATTAAAAATGTCTTTTTAATTTTTTCATGGTAAGAATTTTTCCCATTTTTCAGAATGATCAGAAGTCTCAGAATATGCATCAGTTTTCTCTATAAAATTAATTTCACACTTTTTTCCTCCGATTTTTTTCTAAAAACATTTATGGATTTTTGCTGTTACAGAACTGGTAGGGGTAATTTTTCTTTAGGATTTTAGACATTGAAGCTTGGAAAGTTGAGAAAGATTTCAAGGCAAATTTATAGACCCATGATTCTAAAAGATTCTAGAAAAATGTGATAAAAGGAAAAATGTCTCCATGGTAGTAACACGCATGGTAGTAACGCAGTTTCCATGGTAGTAATGCAGTTTCTTATATTTTGGAGAACATCTGGAAGAATAATGAAAACATAATAGTTGAATGTTTTACTTCTGATTCTAGAATTGCTTTCTTAACATTTTTATCTTCTCTTTATTTTCTCTACTTTTTACTAGATACAAACATGGAAAATATCAAAAGTTCTTCTAATCTTATCATATTCACAGGCATTATAGAAAGGAATATTTTATTAATAAAGAAATTGAAAATTGACAATTCAAAAAATTCATCTAATATGTCTTAATGCATCATACACAGAGCTGGCGCTAGGCATTTTGCCACCTGATGCAGTCTCTGTGGATCCTAAATTCTGATGCCTGGTGCCTTTCTAAATTCTGCTTTCAATGCCTGCTCTAAATTCTAAAAGTTTTGCGATTTCTATATTTTTTTTGCTCAGTGTGTCCCTAAATTCTAAAAATTATGCCCCCCCCAGCTCTATGACCAGACCTTACCATATGTATTTCATATTTCTTCTGAATGTTTGTATTACTAAAGAAATAAAATTAGCAACTTTTTCCATACATTCAAAATGCATTTAGTCTTTTAGAATAACAGAAGTCTTTAATTAAATCCAAAAAATTTAAAGTGAAAAGGAAACGTTTTGAAAAACGAAACTAAATATGTAAAGAGAAAGAAAATTATTCTTCAAAGATATGTACAGTTGTTATTATGTAAATTACCCAGTTGTTTACAGTTTCAGCCTTTACTATAATTTCCCATTTCTATTTCCTCATCAGAATGCAAATCACTTAGACAGTTTTTAAACTGAGTTTTTTCGAGTGTAAGACGAGTGTTTCTGCACTCCACTTGCTCCCTGCATTAGTTCCTGTCTGGCTCTGATGAGTTGTAATTATTAGTCTTTCCATTACTGCTGCTGACATTTGAGTTTATTATGACAATAGAGTTACTGAACCAGATTAAATTGAATTAAAATTGTAGTTTTTTGACCACTAGTCCATATTTTTAGTTTGAATTTCACTCTTCTTGTTTAATTATATCACCACAAACTGTATTTTATTTTGTTAGCATAAAAACATGCCAATATGTTTCAAGTTCTTTTTGAATAAGAAGCTTATTTAAACCTTTATTTAAATTTATTATCTGATTTATAGTTACTTTCAGACATAGTGATAATTTGCTTCACATCTGTCGGCGGGGGAAGTCGGACTATTTAACTTTTACCAGATCAAGTAAACCCTCATAGGACCCTGCCATTGTGGAGAGGTTGGCAGTTAGGAGATAAAACACTCAGAAACTAATGAGAACATTGTTTTGCATATTGAGACAAATTTCTAATTGTTAGAAAACATGCTTAAGGAGAGAAGGAATAGATATAAATTAGCCAAAATGTCTGGGCAGGCCTTCAAATTAAAAAGAGGCATAATTATTTTGTTGAGTTTTATGTTTTGTAGCTTTTAATGTGTAATTATCCTAATATTGTTTAAAAATCAATGTCATAAATTGCATGTATTTTAAACTGTGAAATTTTATGAGATTGTGATATTAATAGGGTTTTTTTAACAAATATTATTAAAAAATAAATTAAATTTAGTAGTGGCCATGTAAATGTATAATGACTAAGATTACCTAATACCTAATTTAATTATAACTAAATACATTCCCTTAAAAATTATCACTATATTAAAGCAAGTTATTGCCTTTCGTTAACACGCTGAGCCTGGCGTCGGTCTCTGGGGACCGGCACTGGAATTTTCGTTTGGCTGGCGTCGGCCCATGGGGGCGACAGTATTAAAGTTTAAAAATAAGTATAGTCTCAATGAAATGTGATCAAATGTAGTTTTAATGAAATTTATTGAAACATTCTAAACAAAAATACGGCTTAGCTTTACACATATTACAATACGAAACAACTGTTTTGGTAACATTTTTCGCTATCTTGCATCCAAATAGTTTTAAATTGTCATCATAACATTTCGAACAATACTTTCAGACTTTATGTGCATCTCCTTCCTTTTTGTATAATTTATGAATAATTTAAGTCGGCAGTATTGCACCGCTTAATCGCTCGCTGCCGGCTGAACGGAAAGGACAGCAAATTTGGCGCCGGGCTCAACATGTAAAGCTTTACCATGGTCACAAAGTAAAACACAAAAATATAAAAATTCATGTGAAACTTATTCTTTGCATCTAGTGAGACTTAATGCAAAACAACTTATCACTGCTAATGCTTTAGTGGCTTGACCTTAAAGTATATTAACTGAGTTACAACCCCTGGAACTCTACACTAAGTTACAACACTACCAGCATCAGACAGAGGTCAGCTAACTTTCAAAACTTGCTTAACTGTGCCTACATCGGGCCTTTCAGATGTGTTCTGATCAGCAGGTTTCTCTATAGGCAAGCAGGAGCAGTGACAACAGCCAGTCTTTTGTTATGAATCATGCTGATTATGATTTTAATGCTCATTTTAACCTATGCTGCTTGACATAAAATCTACTTGCTATTTACTAAACCTCTAGACTGAGCAAGTATGTGACATAATGAGACATTAAAAAAAAAAAAAAAAAAAAAGCTAACTGTTAGTAAAATGTAACTAAAATGTCACTTATCTTCTTTCAAATATGTCCAGTTATTATAAATGTAAAATATTTAATGCTACTTGATAAATTTCATAAAATTAATTTTATTCTCAAATGTATTAATAATTATGTTAATTAAGTTATGTTTAATAATAATGCATCCTACTCACATTCAGGCATAGATATAATATTTTTAATTGAATTTACTCAGTTCCCATTTGCTCATAGGCCTTAATTTTTTGGTCCTTAAAAGTACTTAATTTCCGTGTGCAGAAATGTGTACAAACCCTGTAATATAAATCTGGAATGGTAAGATGATCCAAGATCTGGAATGGTGGAATGGATTTATAACAAATTTTGACATCTTTTATATAGATATAATAGTATAAATAACTTCAAAAATTAGTTTCTTCCGATTTCTATTTTTTTTTTTTTTTTTTTTTTCCTGTAAAGACGCTTGAAATTCCCCCCCCCTCCCAAATAAAGTCAGTGCAGAGTGCATGCAATATTCTACTCCAAAAAATATTGTTCTTTGGGGTTCATTTATTATGAACAGGTCTTGATAAGATAGAAAAATGCTGCCCATTCAAAGCCAAAAGGATAAATGTTATTTGCTAACCAGGTGGTATTTAAAGCCAAAACGTTATGCAAGGTGATTTGATATTATCATTAATAATGATGTTTATTGAAAGGGAAGAGAAAAAAAGAAAAAAAAAACTTTAGCTTATCAGAATGAATTTTATTTAAAGACACTTGTATTTGATTGAATGATATTATGAATTTTTTAATATGAAAAAAGCGGGAAAGAAAATTATGGAAGTTCAGATAATAGATCATTCTAGCCATTGGATGTTCAAATTTCAGACTTTGTACTGTATGATATAGAATCTGTAAAGTTCAAAAAATTGTTTTGTGACCAAGCTATTTGATGCAAACTTAAGATCAGAGTTGCTGTTCTCAGAATTGTAACCTGTGTATTTGCAAGCTATGCAGACAATATATGACTGGGACTGCAGACAGCTGGGACACACAGTAACATAATAATTACAAATTTCATGATATTTTAATGTAACCCAAGTCTGGTTAATTAAGATTTTGTTGTTTGGATGTGTCTCAAGATGAAACACAGCTTTCTTTGCAAGAATTATTTATCTAGTTCAAATTTTAAACTATGTTTTGGATATAAAAGGTAATATAAATTTCTTAGTTTAATCATCAAAAATAAAAATGTTGCTGTAATTGTTTCAATTTTTGGTAGTTATATAGCTACATTTGTTAGTATTTATACTCCTACATTTATTACAATTGGTAGTTATATATCTATAATTTTTGGTAATTATATTAGCACATATGATAATTTATCTCGCAGATGTTGAATTTAATCTTGTGATAATCGTAAAATATCAATAACATAGTACATCTCCATTGCACAGCTGCCTTAGTACTCTTATTTAGAAATATGTGTTTGTAAAATTCCGGCAATGAAAAATGTTCCTTGAGACTTACCATACTGCCCTTTTTTTTTGGGGGGGGGGAAGGGAAACTTGATCCTGGATTTAAAAATAAAGTAGTTTAATTTTCAATTTATTTGCATCAATCATTATTATTTGGAGTAACAACTACTATTAATTTCTATGCAAGAAATTACAAATAATATTTGTGTGTGTTTAATTTTTTAATGTTTAAGTGTTTTATCAAAATATTAATATTATTGTCTTTCCAAAGGGTTGAGAGTCCCTTGACTAGTCAACCAGTTACGTCTACACCATTAACATCTAGACCACAAGAACTTCACTTTAGACCAAGGCCAACTCCACCAAGTCTTAGCAGCTCTTCTGGTAAGTTACAAGGTCATTTTTTAACATGTGCATTTTTTTAATTGTTTTATTAGCTGCCCATGGAAAGTGAACTGAAATTTCCGATTATGTATAATTAATGCATAGATAACTATAAAGATAGCTATAATTAAAAATAGTTAATAAAGCTGTAATTAATGAATTACTTGCTTAAAAATTAAAATCTTCATTGGTGTTGAGGGAAAAAATAGATATAGTTTAAGTAGTTGCAAATAGGATTCATGTGTAACAATATTAATAGAGTTCGTACATTCCTTAAGTCCTTAGAAGTCTTAGAAGTTTTTTAAAATCTATTTTTGCTCCTTAAAAATCTATAATTTCAGCCAAAATCGCCAGAAGGTATTTAATTTTAATCATCTGAAATTTCTTCCTGTTTTTACGACTGCCATTTTGAGTGTGAATTAGCATTTCGGAGGAATATTTTTGGCGATTCACGGATATATATGGTAATCTTATGAATGGTTGAATGAGTTATAATTTGTTTCTATTAAGGATCATCTTAAGAATTAAGAATTGCATAGGAACCCATGCCCGGAAGCATCAGGGGTAAATGATAGCAGAGGTAGAAGGTGGGAAAAGGAACAAGGGTGATTAATTTGAAACATTTATTGGACATGAATACAAATGGTGTACAACAGCTTGAATATTAAAACAAACATGTTTGGCATCTGATGGAGCTCAAAGTTTGCACCATCAGACACCAAACATGCCTGACACTGATGGACCATGTGAATACCACAAATTATTTGATCTTTCTGGAGCAGAATCTTCCCAATTTGCTTGACAATGTTCCACCAAATGTGATTTCAGCATGATGGAGCCCCTGCTCATTTTGGACTGGATGTTTGTAACCATTTGAACATATCATTCCCTCATCAATGGATTGGGAGTGGTGGACCAGTTCCCTGGCCCCTACACTCACTGAGTTTATTGAGCCTCGATTTTTTTTTTTTTTTTTTTTTTTTTTTTTTGTGGGAAACCATAAAAGTGTCTTGTATCACAATCCTGTTATGTCTGAAATGGATCTTGTGGCAAGACTCACCTGCACAGCTGCTATAATCAAAGAAAGACCCTGTGTGTTTGAACATGTCCGACAATAAATGTTTTGTTGGTGTCAGGCATGTTTGCCGCCTGATGGCGCAAACTTTGAGCATCTTTTGTAACATTCAAGCTATCGTACACCATTTTGTATTCATGTCAAATAAATGTTTCAAATTAATTACTCTTGTTTCTCTTTCCATCTTCTGCCTCTGCTAGCACTTACCCCTGACATTTCCGAGCATGAGTTCCTGTGCAATTCTTAATCCTTATGATGTGCCCGATCTTCCTTAGAAGTTTGTTGCAACATTTACGGTACACCCTGTATATACATATATATCAGTATTACGTTCATTTTTATTTTGCGCAGAATTATATGTAGGAAGAATTTATAGTTAAGGCAAGCTATCAATTGAATTTACTTATAGATATCTTTTTAAAATGGAAAGATGAAATCTTTAGGAACATTTCTACTGCGCTTAAACCCATAAAGTTTTAAAGTACATTAAATTCATCATAACTACTGTCTGATATTCAAAATTTAAAACAACTTTTCACTATTACCTAAATAGATAAAGCAAATAATAACTAAAATTCTACATGACAATTTTTAATAAAGAACTTTTCAACACAACTGCTTATCAATTAGCAAACGATACAGAAAGATCTATAATTAACAGAATTAAAACTTTTCATAAAAATCTCAATAGCTCTTTAAATCCAAAGTACAACAGGTTTACTAACCTATATGCTCTTCCCAAATTCTGTAAAAGACCATTAAAATTCATATTTATAGCAAATGGCACTGATAACTATAAGCAAAATGTAGACTGTTATTTTGCACTACAGCTTTAAAAAGATTTGTAAAATTTTCAATGCCTGCAACACTGATCATAAATATTGCTGGATCACACTCCTGTCATTAATGCCTTTCTATTGACATACAAAACATTAACTGCTGTGACTCTGAGAACTTGCATGCATCACTTCCATTAGAAGAAATCTATACTAGTATACTAGATTTGCCTAAACTCTTTCCTGCTATGCTCACAATTATGAACATTAATAAATGGGAAACCTACCTACCTAAAATGCATCATTTTTCATAACCAAATTAAGTTTCAAAATCAACTTTTAAAACAAGTCAGAGGTATTCCAATGGGTGCACATTCGAGTATTTCCGTCTGTAATATCTTTTTATTCATAAAAGAATTTACCTTCCTAAGAAATGTACAACAAGATTTAAATTATTACACGCACACCTACAGATATATAGATGATCTTATTACATTTAATAATTTGAATAAGATTTAAAACTCAGATTTATCCAAACTGCTTTGCTCTTAATAAAACTAATCATTCAAAAAATATCATTGACTATCCTGATCTTCAAATAATTAATTACAAAAAAAAAAAAAATTATACTGTTTCACAAAACTAGAGACTTCAATTTCAGTACTAACAAATTAATAAATTCGACTTCCCAATGTCTCCAAGAAAGTAATTAGTAATACTATCTTAAATCAAATACAACATATTAAAAGTATTTGCACAGATATGATAGATCTACAATGCAAAATTCTGCTCCTTATTAAAATTCTCAAATACGGTCAAAAGTCTTTAATCCGGACTCGGCAATTCCGGATTATAGATCATCAGTTTAAATCTGGTAAGATTGCATGCAGAAATTATAAAATTAAAAATATGAAACCGTAATTTATGAAATAAAGAACTATTATGATCTAAAGAGTATCAAAATTTACAAAAAAAAAAAAAAAAAAAAAAGCTAAATATTTATTTGTTTACTTTATTAAACATTTCTTTCAATGTAAGTTGTTTAAGTTGCTTCATTTTATGTTATAATATTTTCTCTTTAATTCTATAAACAGATTCTTGTTCAGTTACAAAGCTGCATTTCTTGCTCAGTTACAAAGTTCTGCTGTTCAAGTCCTATAATTGCTGTGTTCGTTTTCAGTAACCTCTGTGTCACTTTCTTCACTATCGAAAGTGAATTATAATGACGAGGAATTTAATTTAAATCATATCAAAGACGGAGTACATCGAGATTAAATACTACATTTGGTAAGGAATTATAAGCCAAATAAAATAAAAACATCTGCCTTGAAGATAAGGATAGTGCTGACAGATCAACTTCCAGTTCATTGCGTGCCCCCCCCCCCCCTGCAGAGCAGTGTGAAATTGATAAACAGATTTCGGAATGGTTAGAGAAACAAAGGATATGCCTTTATCCATTTTTTGCACCACTTTTTGTTTGATGGACATCGAAACATACTTTCACTTTGTAGGTCCTTTGGCAGCTCCAGCATCGGAAATTCTATTTGACATATCGAAAGTTCAAGCTTACTTTTATAAAATTGCTCTAACAGTCTGCAAAAAATAATAAGCCGGATCCAATTCAAAGATTAAGGAACAATGCAATCTGCAACATTAACTGAAGTATATTATTAGATAATTTTAGCTTAGCTTATACCATCCGTTTTACATTAAATGCGTATGCCGCATGCGTCAACGCATTCGCAGAAAGTTTGTAGCTTTGAGGTCCGGATTATGCGTGTCCGGATTAACGACTTTTGACTGTACCTAATTATTTTATTAATCATTGTTTTAAAAGTGCAGGCGTTAAATACTTTCTCTAAATCATTTAACTGATAGGGATATGAAAATTTGTTCCTAAACCTAAAAAGGCGGTATAAGTTGGATGACTATCAGTTGGAGAATTTGTGCATAGTGTAATTACAGAAATAATCGTATATAATGTAAAAAAAAAATCGTTGTTTTCTGGCTTTTTCTTATTCCTTTTGCTGTTGCTAAAAAAAATGAGCCTATTTCATACTCTAAGTCTGCTAATTAGCTGGTTAGCAGTGAAAATTGCTTATTTATCTTTTTTTCCTCATTCTGCAGGGACAGTTAGCCAGGCATTAATTTAGTCCGTATAATATAAAAATTTTAACAGATTTACACTCGTAAAAGAGATCCGCAAAGACTTCCCTCCCACATTCCAAAAGTAGCTTCTCAAAGGTTAACCGACTACTAATCCCCACTGCAAAGGATCCCCACTGCTGCTCCCTACATCTCGGAGAGCATAGCATGTCACACTCCTTCTGAGTAAGAAAACAGATACAAACACATCACTGTCCTCCTACTAGAAAGAATACAGTCAAAAGTCTTTAATCCGGACGTCCATAATTTGGAATGATCTATAATCCGGACCTCAAAGCTACAAATTTTCTGTGCATGCTTAAACGCATAATGCATTTACGCAGGTGCATATGCATTTATGCATGCACGTTTAATGTATAACGGACGGTATAAGCTAAGCTAAAATTATCTAATTATCTATTTCACTTAATGTTGCAGATTGCGTTGTTCCTTAATCTTCTAAATGGATTCGGCTTATTATTTTTTGAAGACTGTTGAGCAGTTTTATAAACTTAAGCTCGAACTTCCACTTATGTCAAAAAGAATTTCCGATTCTGGAGCTGCCAAAGGATCTACAAAGCGAAAGCATGTTTTGATGTCCATCAAACAAAAAGTGGAATTGTTGCAAAAAATGGATAAAGGCATATCCTTTGTTTCTGTAACCATTCCGAACTCTGTTTATCAATTTCACGCTGCTGTGCGGGGGGGGGGACGTCGCGGCACGCAATGAACTGGAAGTTGATCTGTCAGCACTATCCTTATCTTCAGGGCAGATGTTTTTATTTTAATCAGCTTATAATTCCTTACTAAATGCAGTATTTCATCTCTATGTATTCCGTCTTAATATGATTTTAATCAAATTCCTCGTCACTATAAATATCACGAATACACATCAAATAGTTTTCTGGTTGCAATTTTCTAATTTTGACTATGCGTAATGTATGCTTTACGCATGCGCGCATTGAAAGAAATGTTTAATAAAGTAAACAAATAAATATTAAGCTTTTTTTTTTTTTTTTTTTTTTTTTTTTTTTTTTTTGTAATTTTGATACCCTGTAGATCATAATTGCTATTTAGTTCGTAAATTACGGTTTCATATTTTTAATTTTATAATTTCTGCATGTCATCTTACCAGATTTAAACTGATGATCTATAATCTGGAAAAACCGATAATCCAGATTTAATTGGGACTGGACTCGCCGAAGTCCCGACGAGGCTGGATTAAAGACTTTTGACTGTATAAGTTAAATTAATTCATATTCTGGTCTTTTATATATATTATGTACATTTAACTTTGTACATTTCCCTGTACCTTATTTTGTAACCTTTCAATTTTTCAACTTATAGTTTATTAATTTTGCAAAGATTGCATTGTTTATTATGTTTATAAAGATAACTTTGAATTCCGTTTCATAAATATAGCTAAGATTAAATTCTGTTTATATTATGTTTATAAAAATAGCTTTGAATTAACATGTATGAAAGCAAGAGTGTCAGGAAACACTTTACTCAAATAAATGATAAAAAAAATTTTACTACTACTTTATCCAGCAGAGAAATTTATTTTTGCAGATTATAGTGTTTATTTGTTTGACAATTACTCAATATTTTTGTTTTTTTCTTGTGTGGTAGAAAGATTAATATATTTTGGTCATCATTTAGATAAATTTGATTTTATCTAATGAAATTTTTAATGCAACTGTTGATTTTTATTGACTTTTTGCAGGCATTTTAGATTTATTTTTAAAACTGCTGTGTTATTATATGTGTATAAACTCATGTTTTTTTTTTTATTTTAATGATTTCTAAACAATATTTTTTATAGATGAAAGTGAGGATTATGCTGTTAATTTCAGAAAGGTAATATTGATTTCTTCTGTATTTTTATGGTTAGTATTAAATATCATGTGCAATAGATTTAACGTGCATCAGATAAAAATTCACCTAAAAGGGAATTATGTATTTATTTATTTATTTTTAAATTCAGCAAAGTGTGCAAATGTGTGTTATTTCATTCACTTACATTTTTATCATAACATAGCATTGAAGAAGCCTTCCCTTCCAGAGTGGTCAAGAAACTCACCCGATATGTCCGAAACGTAATAATGAGCAGGCTTCTCCGGCACATATTCTTATGTGTCTGGTTTGTTCTATGACGACCTACTAGAACTTCCTATGCTAGTCTGTGACTTTTTTAAAGTGAATAAACTCGTGGATCTCGTCTAGCAGAAGCTGGACTCGAGGATTAGCAACAACAACACATTTTTATCATATAGTCATCCTCTGATTAATCAGGGTGTAAGTGCAAAAGTTGTCCATCCACAATTGATTCAAACCCAAGGGCAATTTTAGAAAGTGCAGGAAAGAGGCATACTTTAATAAGCGAAAAAGTACTAAAGTACAAAGTGCAGTATTCAGAATGGTCTAAAATCCAGACTTCAAAATAACTAGCCAGCTCCCTCCCTCCCCCCAGATTTTTTTTTTTTTTTCTTTACGCTTGTTCATTTGACATTTTTTCTTCATAATAAAATGTGGAGAGTTCTGTTTCTTAACCCTCTGAGCGTTACGGGTTTAGCCCTGAAATTTCAAAGTTCCTCAAAATGTCATGAATAAGTGATATTTTCTTGATTTTAATTTTAAAAAATTACTCTTTCATTTTGTACCTTGATTCCTTTTCTTCCAATATACATCCAAACTGAAATCAGATACATTAAAAGCTAGCAGAAATTTTCATGTATAATGAATGTGGAAGGCAACCTTCTGTGCGGAATTTTCCGGCCATAACGCTGAGAGGGTTAATTCCACTATGGCACTGACACCATCCTGGAGAACCATTAATTTTTGCTTTCATACCGCATGACTATCAATATACTGCAGCTTGAGAAAAGCCTCTTGCAGTGATGTCTAAACAATTTTTTTAAAAATTTAATATTAGTAATTTAGTACCAAACAGCATGGTAACCTTTTATATTGGCAATGGTTACAGACTTCAGCTAACTCCTCTCAAACTGTTGAGTGTGTTGATGATGGGAAATTTAACAAAAAACTTTTCATATAAAAAATATTTTGTAGATGATGCTCATAACCCATAACTCATATAAAATTTTCAGAATTTAGATAGGCACCAATCAACCAAATTAATAATATAATTCATCCTTAATTTTGTCAGTGTAAAAAGAAGCAAGAAAAAATTTACCATACAACTTATCTTTAAGAAGCTAATCTCATGATATGTTGCCATTAGTGTATATTGGATGCTAGGTAAGCTTTATGATGATAGCCATGAATTTGAAGGTTTTCAGATGTTGCAAACAAAAAGTGAAATTTTCCAATTAATGGGATTTGTAAAGAAATGTAGAGAAGTCATAATAAATGAAGGTGATATAACAGAAAATTTTCATTGCCATCACAATTCCCCAATCATCTATCAACTAACAGATGGTGAAATCTGTAATACTGATCTAAATCCATAAAATATTGCTACCAATAGCAGAGTTGCCAACTCTCCCAATTTCTGACCATACTCCCATCAACCCGATTTTTAACTTATTTCTCCCGACTTTCTTTTATTCTTAAAATTTCTCATGATTTTTTGTAGCTTTATACTTTGTTATTTGCCCACAAAAAAGTGATTTTGGGCATCTGAAAGCACTTGCTTTTTCATGATGCATATAAAAGTGACCGAAGTTGTTTCATCCCTGAAATATGGTGCGTTTCTGCTTTGTGTATAAGAGTCCGAAAGCATCGTGTTCCTGTTCTCCAATGAAAATCAAGCGCCGCTGCAGGTCATCTGGCATATATTTGCCAATGAGCACAAAACAAGATCGTGGTTGTTTATCTCGTTCGTCTCGCCAGTGAGTAGCGTAAGTTTCACATGCTTCCCTGAAACAGCTTAAGAAACTGCGATATTTTGCATTAGTTATGTCTGCGAAAAATGTAAAATGCCCATGTACTTTTCAAAAATCATACACAGATGATCTAAAATCCAGACTTCGAAATCACTAGCCAGCTCCCTCTCCCTCCCCCCCCCCAGATTTTTTTTATTTATTTATTTTTTTTTCCTTTACGCTTGTTCATTTGATATTTCGTCAAGCAGATGTAATATTGCAGTCTGCATCGTTTTCCATTGCAATTTTCCAATTTTGCACGGTGGAAAAACCGATGTTCTTAAACATGTGCATACACAAGGACAACCTCTTTCTCCCAGTAAAACCAAGTGTGAGTTGTACTGGGAGAAAAAATTAAACTTTTCTGTGGAAACAAAGGACCAAAATGTTAATAATGCTGCATACCTGTTCTCTGCCTTTTAACTGGAGTGTAACCTGCCTCTGAATGCATCGAATCATGCTGCGGCGTTTTTAGAAGCATGTTTCCTGGAAGTAAAATCGCTAAGAAATAATCAAGTGCAAAAACAAAAACTGTTTAAAGTTAAAAACTATAAAAAGTTTTTAAACGTGTTTATTATCAGATATTAATTAGTTACTATTTAAAGTTAATAAATACATCATTAAAAATATATTTTCTTTCTACATATTTTTATTATTCAAAAAACTTTTTGTTATTGAAAAATTCTCCTGATTTTTGAGTGTCGTAGAATGGCAAGTATGCAGTAGTGAAGAAAGTGGATGAGAGGTTGCTGAGAAGAATAAAATTTTGATTGGCAATTTAGTGGGAATTCTTGATGGGAACAATGAAATTTTGTAACTGAGCAAGAAATTATGTCTATCTGTAGAATTAAAGAAAAAGTATTAGCTCAAAAAACAAACCTTAACAAATTAAACAATTTCATTGAATGAAATGTTTAATAAAGCAAACAAATAAATAAGCTTCTCCTCCCTTTTTTGTAAGCTTTGATTTTTTTAAAGTTATAAATGATTCATTATTTCATAAATCACTGTTTTATATTCTTAATTTCTACATATCATCTTACTAAATTTCAGCTGGCGATATAATATCGAGAAAAATCACAAATTTGGAGTCACCAAAGTCCTAATGAGTTCAGATTTCAGACTTTGTATTGTATAAGCACTGTCTGTATCTGTATTTTTCAGCAGTATAATCTGAAAAATCAGTTAACATAAATGAAATGTGTGTTCAAAATAAAAAGAATTTGCATGAATTACAGAAGAATAAATGTTATTAGAAATAAATGACTTACGCTATCACTACTACTATTGTAGGCATTTTGCTTTCCCTTTTCTTTTTCATTTTCCATATGTAGTTCTGTTTTATGCTCATTGTTTGTGATAGCATTTTTCCATAGCTTCAGAATGAACAAACTTTTTCTTGTGCAACATCCAAATAAATCATATCCTCGTTAGTTCACCCGTCTAATTATTTCGGAATTGGTAGTTTGTATCTTTTATGTAGAAAGTTAATATTTCCATTTATATATAAATTTACCATATTTGACATTATTATACCCTTATACTTAAATATAATCAACTAAAATATTGAACAAAAATAGATAATAATAAAGACCTTTAAAAATGAGTTTATTGTACCTTTTATGAAATAGTTTTTATATGTCTGCCGCACTAATATTCGGAAACGTGAAAATAGCTTAAAAGCAAGAATTATGAGCAAGTGAAATGCAAGTTTTTTTAAGCAGTATTCATGTGTTATTACAGTGTGTTTAAGCAGTATTCATGTGCTGTTAGAGAATTTTAGCTAAATTAATTGCTGGAAATCTTGTTACTTTTCCACAGGTAGTTGTTAATTTACTTAGCTGCATACATTACAATTTTCACTTTAACCCTCTGAATGGCATGATTTTTTTTTAATCTAGTAATGAAATTGTTTGCTTGCTGCATTGTATTTATTGCTGTGTTATTCAGAATATTTTGCTTTCTTATACTCTTCAGTGGTCTTAAAATTTTCATGAACAAGTGTGTCAAAGCAACAAGTAAAAAAAAAATTTGCAAAAGCTGAAAGGGTTTAGATTTTAACAGCTGTATTTTATTAAGGTTTTTCATGCTCTTGCTGAGCTTGCAGCCTACCAATCTGCTGTTGCACCTCTTGCTGCTAACTCATTTCTTTTTGTCTAGCTTTAAGCATAATTTCCTTCGCACTTCTGCATGTACAATTCAACAACAAAATTGCAAAAATTTTAAAAGCAGCATAAGTTTAGAATTGCCGATGCAGTGTTAAGTGTCGCATGCATTTATACATTTTTATATTTTTTCTCAGCCTAAGCCTTTTCTCAGTTTATCATATCAATATTCAGTTTTCTTAGTAAGATGGCTTACAAAACTTTTTTTTTATCTTTTTATTATTAAAATTTTCTGTGTTCACTTTATTTATTAAATATCACATTCTTAGCACTTACATAAAAGTTGATTCAATAGCAAAATCACAAAATATTTAAAAACATCACGTCTTTAGAGTTTCTGATGGACAGTCTCACACACTGTAGATAAAAATGTTTTATTCCGTACGGTGCTGCCACTGCTTGCTTTGAAATCATTGACAGCGCAGGATTTACATATAAGCTACACAAGCTACAGCTTAGGGCCCCCACTTTCTTGGCCACCCCCAAAAAAATTAAAATATAGTATAACAGACTTATAGGCCTGGTGGCGCAGTGGCTAGCGAATTGTGCAGCAGCACCACAAAGCAGGCTTCGATTCCCAGACTCGGAGTTATCGACTCAGCCTTTCATCACTTGGGTCGATAAAATGAGTACCAAGTTCACTTGGGGACTAAACACTGGGGGTCCTGCGGCCAAGCTGACCACTTGTTCAGGGCATATGCTTATGCACCTTGGGGTCCACGGTCAAGAGAAAGCAGATTTTCGGGCACTGCAGGCCTTGGCCCATTAAGGCTGTTACGCCACTGAGTTTTAGTTTATATTAGGCCCCATATCTCAAATAGCTTAGGGCCTTATCAGTTCTAAGTCCAGCTCTGATCATTGGGTTTGTTTATCAAAAATTTGTTAAAGTTTTACAAAATATGAAATAGATGATAAAGCAAGTTCAAAATTCAGGCTTCCAGGTGCCCATGTGCAGGTGGAAGAGTACATTATTCAAAATTTGATGGCTCCTAGATACCATTGTTTTTTCACAGTGTGTGATAAACATGCATACATTCATGCAGATTCTTCATTATTTAATTTCTTTAAATATAATAAGCTATAACGTGTGGTGGCAACAATTTGAAAAGTGAAACGCCGTTTATAGTGATTCAACACAAAATACCGTTTCAAGACTAATATCCCATCTATAACTTCCCTTCTGGGCTAATGTTTTGGGCTCACCTATTTCAACTTAATTCGATTATGCAAAACTCTTAATAAATGTTATGGAAGTATATCATCATGAGTGAAATAAAAAAGTCTCAAAGGCAATAAGTATGTAATTTATTCTCAGCTAGCAAATGACAGCTAGGATACAAATAAAGAAATTTAAATGGCAAGACCACGGGTTTATATACTTGAAATGCATCATTTGGCAAAAGATTAGCTCTGATCATTTCAATTTCTTTCACTATTAAAGTTTAATCATTTGATCTAACTATTTTGATAATATAATTATATACTAATGTAAATTATCTAAGTTCACTAACATTGGCACTTGCAAAGATAATTTATCCTTTGCACCTGAGAAGTGTCTGTCAGTCGCTGCTTGATGCATTTATTTTAATGTATGAAGAATCACCTCTAAAGTGTAAAGGGTTAATTTTAATTTGATTTTTGGAAAGATTTAATAAGTGGTAATACATTCTAGCCACCACACAATGAGACCTTAAATTTTATTACTTTCCTGTTGGATTACAAGATACATTCTCATCAAAGCAGAAAAAGTTTTTTGTAATAATGTGCAAACAGTACAAAAAATATGATCTGTTGATAATTATTTGAAGCCTGCAACATATGATGCTAACTTTAATTCAGAAATTTAATATTTTTTAAATACCTGCAACACAAATTCTTACTTTATTTTTGAAAAAGAACCAGGAACCTTTCATGTTGTATTTAAGTTTCATTCTATGATAAGTCAACACCACCTAGAGTACATTCTACATAGTGGAGTGCACCTAATGTACTCTAGATGGCATTGGATAAGTACTCTGAACCATCTAAACCTCGAAGTCGGCAATTCAGTGTACCTAGAATCATTCATAGTTGAGCCATTCAGATGTCATTATAATAATGCTCTGCTGTTGGTTACCTTGATGTTATTTAGAAATAAATTTAAATGCATAAACTCTCCAAATAAAAATTGTTGTCTTTCTTCTAAAAATTCCATGCTAAATGCTCGTTTCATTTCAAATACGTCCAACCTTATACTCTTAATTGGTACCTTATACTCTTAATACATGAAAATAAATGTGTTGTGTATTAGGAGATTAATTATTGTTAACATTTGCTGTTTTTTCCCTCTATATTTTAGATGTATTATTAATTTTATCTTACACGTCAAAATCTTTCTCCTTTTTTTTAGTGATGTTTATAATGGGATGTGGATCCTATGATTGTTATATATACAGAAATAACTGTTTCAGCTTAGTAGTGCCCTAGTAAGATCTACATATGGATGTATTCATGGTTATGGGATCTGCAGAAGTTATTTTACCATTATCACTGAAAGCATCTGTGGTGGTTCTTGAAGTAGAGCAAGTGAAATCATTCAGAATATACATAAACTTTAGGCTAATAGCTATTAAATAAAGTGCACAGCCATTAAATATATATATACGAGGGTTGGAACTTTAATAGTGGCAACACAGCTGAAAAAACGCTACGCAACAAAACCAAAGAATATCGCATATACCACACGTAAACTACATACCTACCTTACCTCTCAGCAAAAAGACTCGTCATGCGCATGCGGAGTGACGCGAAGAACGGATCCTTGTATTAGCTCACGGTCTAAAGTAAGTGTTCTCAGGATGTTTTCAAAGCAAGAACAACGACTTTGGATAAAAATTGAATGTGCCAGAGGTCGTACAGCACGACAGTGTCATCAAGGGCTTCAAGAGGCTTGCAGGGAATCTGCATTGCCTTACAGAACCGTAGCAAGATGGGTGAAAGCATTCAATGAAGGACGCCAAAACATGGCAGACATGCTGCGGCCAAGTCGTCCGAGTGTCAGCAATGCAGACGTGCAAGCTGTTGCCACACTAATGGATAGTGATCGCCGCCAAACGATTCGTCAGTTGGCCGGACAAACAGGATTAGCGCATACGACTGTGCTGCACATTCTGAAGGAACGCCTGTCCATGAGAAAAATTGCTTCACGATGGGTTCCACATCAATTGATGGAAATGCAGAAATGGCTACGATACGATGCTACCCGAACCCACCTGGAGATGCTTTTTTACGCCGTATCATAATGCTGGATGAGACTTGGGCCCGATCATACCAGCCAGAACTGAAACACCAATCAAACAAATGGCGTCATCACGAGTCACCACAACGTTCAAAATTTCGTCAGAACCCCAGCAATGTGAAAGTTATGGTGATTCTCGTGTACGACTGTGATGATGTCATCCTAACGCATACCGTTCCCCCACAGCAGACCGTCACTGCGCAGTATTACTGCTCATTTTTGGAGCATAATCTCCGACCAGCTTTGAGAAAAAAACAGCGATACTTTCTGCAGAACGTTTCTCTCATTTTACATGACAATGCTCGGCCGCATGCAGTGCAAGCTATGGGGCTGGGAAGTGCTTTACCATCCACCATACTCCCCAGATCTAAGCCCTTGTGACTATGACTTAATTCCTAAGGTGAAGGAACCACTTCGTGGCACTCGCTTCCAAACTGACATTCTTGCGGCATTAGACCGGTCCATTCAAACTATCAACAAAACAGGTGCTGCTACAGGTGTTCTGCGACTTCCAGATCGTTGGAAACGGGTTGTACACAATGCTGGTGACTATATTGAAGGACTGTAAAACATGGTGACATGAATCACTTTTGTATTCCTTGTAAATAAATAGTTGCCACTATTAAAGTTCCAACCCTCGTATAAAAACTTTATATATTTAAATTTTATATTTGCTTTATATGAATAGATAATATTTGTTAAATTCAAATTTCATTCCTTCTAGTTATGGCACAAGAGAATTATTTAAATTTAACTTTACTATTTTCTTGTGAAATAAACTATATACAGTCAAAAGTCGTTAATTCGGACACCCATAATCCGGAATGATCTATAATCCAGACCTCAAAGCTAAAATCTTTCTGCGCATGCGCGTTTATGCGTGCGCGCAAGACCTTTACGACTACGCATATGTGTCTGCGCAAGCGCAGAATACGTTTTCGCGTGCGCGTTTAATTTATAATGGACGGTATAAGCTAAAATTACCTAATTATCTATTTCAGTTTAATGTTGATGATTGGCGTTGTTCCTTAATCTTCGAATTGGATCCGGCTTATATTTTTTTGCAGACTGTAAGAGCAATTTATAAAAGTAAGCTTGAACTTTTGATTATGTCAAATTCCGATGCTGGAGCTCCCAAGGATCTACAAAAAAAAGTATGTTTCGATGTCCATCAAACAAAAAGTGGATAAAGGGCATATCCTTTGTTTATCTAACCGTTACGAAATCTGTTTATCATTTCACGCTGCTCTGCGTGGGGGGGGGGACGTCGCAGCGCGCATGAACTGGAAGTTGATCGTTCAGCACTATCGTCATCTTCAGGCAGATGAATTTTATTTTAATTCGGCTTATAATTCCTTACTAAATGTAGTATTTCATCTCGATGTACTCCGTTTTTGATATGATTTAAACCAAATTCCTCTTCATAATAAATATCACAAATACAAATCAAATAGTTTTCTGGTTGCAATTTTCTAATTTCGGCTATGCGTAATGTATGCTTTGCGCATGCGCGTGTTGAAAGAAATGTTTAATAAAGTAAATAAATAAATATTAAGCTTCTTTTTTTGTAAATTTTGAAACCGTTTAGATCATAATTGCTCATTATTTCATTAATTACGGTTTCATATTTTTAATTTTATAATTTTTGCATGCCATCTTACCAGATTTAAACTGATGATCTATAATCCGGAATCGCCGAAGTCCCGACGAGTCCGGATTAAAGTTTTTTGACTGTATATATATATATATATGTGTGTGTGTGTGTGTGTGTGTGTAATCTTTATCTTATGTTAACAATGTTAAAGAAATCAGTTTAGTGCTTTACTTTTGTTAAAATTACTTATCCTTACAAATGTAAAATAAACTAAATTGAAATATAAAACATTAGTAGAGGTGGTTTTTTTATTTATTTTTATTTATTTATTTATTTATTTATTTTTTTTTTCGATTACGAACGTGGCACCTTGAAATTATTCGTATAGAAGGATGTAACTTGTACTGAACTTAATAAATAATAATTGTAGACACATTTCAAGTATGTATAGTGGTTTCCTAGGGGAATGATTAATGTGGTACTTGGCAAGGCTTGAGATGAGGACTAAAATAATTAGGAATCTGCAATGTCAGCAAGAGATCATTTCTTCCAAGCTATAGATTTCATGGAAAATTTAATTTCACATATAATCAAAAGATTATGATTGTTATCTCAAAAAGTATTTACCTTTAACTTAAGTGCACTTTATTTTATAACAATTAAGTGCGTTAAAATAGTATTATTCTGAGCTGTTGCATTGCATGGAAGAACAGTTAATGCTATAAAATTTTAAAATAAGCAGCTTTTACTTAAATGCGGTTGTACTTTTTAGGCGATGTATGAGAGTTTTTATGAATATTGCAAAGTTTTTATGGAAAAAATTATGGGAGACATTTATACAATATGCTAACAGCAAAATATTGTTTTTTATGACAAATTATTTCTATCAGATGTAAATAAATTTGATGTCTGTGGTAAAGTCTATTCAAATAGTACCATGGGCAAAGATGACAGCCCTGGCAATCTGCAAAACACTATCGTCATAGATGTCCACTCTCTTAGCATGTTTACGCCGGGGCCAATTTTTATGTTCTTCGCTGTTAGACAGCGCTCAAAATTTTGCCGCGTTTCATCTGGCTGCGCATGATTATTACCTGTTCAAACCTGTATACGAGTTGTACGTTTGCTAATAGTTATTAATTATAATTGTCATTAAAATGTTTTTATAATAAATAAACATTAATTTTTCATTATTTTAATTTTCAGCATCTAATAACACAATCGAATGTGTACCATCAGTGGCACACGCCGCCTGATAAGACAGACTAGTGCGGGCCACTGGTGGTACGTGCCGCCTAATGAGATGGACTAGTGTGGCCCACTGGTGGTATGTGCCGCCCTATGAGACAGACTAGTACGGGCCACAGGTGGCCCACGCCGGCGTGAGAGTGATAAACAAATCCCGCAATTTTTAGCAATTCAGCAAGGATATGTGTGCTGTTGTCAGTTTTGTGTCCGGGCAGTTATCGCAGTTTCTGTAGGTTTTCCTGCCATCTTTGACAATTTTCAATCCTCTATGATGGACAGTTCTAAGTCTGACAATGGTTTTAGTTATAAGTCGATCTCCACTGATGTTATAAAGCTAGTTCTTTATTGAAATTGAAAGTTCCTTCAATATGTATTTGGGCATGGCATTTATGTCTGAAAGGTGACATTAGAATTATTACTATTGTTGAGATTTGAGCCTCTTTTGCCAGTTTATCTGCATTCTCTTTACCTGTGACGTTGACGTGCGCTGCAACCATTGTAGAATGCAGACCTTATTTAACTTTTGAAGCTCATTTAGGCAAAAGTGGATACTGTTGATAAACTGGGAGCTTCTATCCAGGACAGCCTGTAGAGCTGCCTTTTAGTCACACGAGACAATGATTCCTTTTGCTTGCTCAAAAATGGAAAGAGATCTATAAATGTCAAGTGCCTCTGCTATTGCCATAAGCTCGCAAGTGAAAATTAGAGAATATGGCTCCAGCGCCAATTTTGTTTTGATAAGTTATATCACCTGGAGTAGTCAGAAATACTCTAGAACCTCCATTACTGATGGTCTCATCTGATGAACCATCTGTATAAGTGTACAAAGTCCTCGTTTGGATACTGTTGAACGGTCCTGATCACTTTGGCTTTAATGATATTGATCATTTCCTTTTTAATACAGGGCTCTAGTAGATTGAGTACTATTTTAGAGTTTATAGAAAGCCTGGAAGAAAATGTTGGCTCTTGGAAGGTGGAAAATTAGTTGTGATCAAGGCCAAAAATTGCTCTAATATTTTTGTTAAATTACATAGGGCAGGGTTGCCACACTACCTGGAAAACTGTGAAAACCCAGAGAATTCGAAAATTGACCAAAAAAGTTGGGCCACTTTTTCATTAGCATCTACTGTTGATCTAGCTGTATCAAGGACGTTTGAAGATTGGGCAGCAGTTGGAGTGAAGGAGTTGTTCAGTGATTTACCGTATATACACGCGTATAAGTCGAGATATTTTGGACCAAAAAAAAAAAAAAAAGACTTCAAAGGGGGGGGTCGACTTATACGCAGGGCCATAAAAAATTTAAAAAATCGGAAGTTCAAAAATTTCTTTATATAATGCAGTTGTTTTTTTCCCGCACTCAAATTGGATACTTATCAATAAGTTGCTTACTTGAATAATTTCATGACTTAAATTATGTGA